CGTAATGGCCACAGTTGTTGTTATGGCCAAAGTTCGTACGTGAGGGTCGAGTTGAGTCGCAAATAGCGGCAGGACCATGAGATGGGGAGATCCTGCTCACAGGACAGTGGCAGCAGCGGCGGCAGCAGGCAGCCGTCCTTTCTGGTGGCCGTTAGCTGGTCGGGTCGTTTGTACATATTGCATCAAAGAAAACTTTTCCCTCACACACACACACACACACGCAGTCGCAATGGAAATGCGGGAGAAAAGCTGGGTAAAAAAGGAAACGGCTATGGCAACAAACGGACAAGGGACAACGCCAAAGGACATGGCCGAATACATGTGTGTGTGTGTTTGTGTCGGCCCCCCTTTTACACATACATATGTACAGGCATATGTACCACATGTCCTATGTATGGGAAAAGGGAGTGGGTTTGGTAGGAGAAGGGGAATGGGCATCCCAGCAAGGACCTAGTACCCAAAAAACCTCCTCCAAGTACCGGCCACGCCTTCTTTTGGCCACTCTTTGCGGACATTTATGTCTTTTTAGGTAAGGAAAATGGATTCTTTTTGTTTAAGTAATTTTTATTTATTTATTATTTAATTTAACTTAAAATTTTAGAGCTAAAAACTTTTAAAATAGCCTAGAAAACCTGGTTATTTATCAGTAAACAGCATAAAAATTACAGACAATTAAAGTTTGATATATAAATCTATAAATCAAAAAAAAATTCATAAAATTCTAAACAAAAACCAAGGAATTCCTGCAGCTTTTAGTATTAATTGAAAAGATTGGTATAAATTAAGTTTCGTAAATCCAAAAACCCCTGAAGATATTTCTTCATTACCCATTTAATATGATCAGCATATGTTGCATCCTACAAACAGTTCAATTTTTAATAAATTCTTTAAATTTTATAAAATTTTGAAAATTTGGGGACTAATATCAGTTAAGGCTCCCAACCTCAACCACAAGGCTCAACACCAACCCCAAGGACCACAACCCCAAAGGCACCTCCTTCCAACTCCACTCTCCCCCCCCCTCTGTTCCATGGTTAAGCAGGCAATCAGAGTCCAGAAGAGCAGGCTCAAAACCAGGACCAGGACCACGGACCAAGGACCAAGGACCAAGGACCACGGACCAGGGCTGATCTCTGGGACAAAATATTAGTTCTGTCAAAATAAATTTCTTTGAGTAATGTAATCCCATTTTGTGGTCTTCGCCCACTGAGGCGAGCAAAGGGGAGGGAGGATGGTCTCATTTTTGCACCACCACCCAACCACCCAACCCAACCCCCTCCACTCCTTTCCACTCCTTGGTCACATATCGCATCAGGCTGAATATGAATGCGATAAATCTGTGCGTGATTGTTTTTTTTCGTGTGTGTTTTGTGTGGGTGGTTGAGGTGTCCAAAAAAAAAAAAACAAAAAAATGGCAGCGGCTAATCCCAAACGAAGGGAGGGAAACGGGGAATGAGGGGAGAAAGGGGGTTTCCAGAATTCGCAAATTTAGCTCAAATCCCAATCTGAGGTTTCAGCTGGCCTTTATTACACTATTTCCTAAGCAGCGCCAATCTAGGCTCAAAAAAGAGCGGACAAACGAGGGGGGTAAATACACTTAAATAAATTAAATTGTAAAAGAAATATTAAAAGAAAAAGTATTTAAGAAATTACATACAAAATATATTATATCTAAATATCTAAATATGAAATCTAAGTTTTTAACACTTGCAGTTATCAAACGATTTTAGGATTAAAACGGCAATTTATGATAACTAAAATATTTCATTTTAATTATTTATTTTACTCTTAAAATTTTGCATCTTTTAAATAATAATTATTGCTTTTTTATATGACACTTTTTTCGACCTATCAAAGTTTAAAAAACGCATAACTAAGCAAAAAATCGTTAATTTTGATTCGGAAAGCTGTTCTATGCTAGTTTTTTTTAGATTAATAAATCTGCATACTCATTTAAAATAAAAAAAAATAAAATTTTTACAGTTTTAACGCCTAAAAATATTTTTTAAATTTTGAAAAAATTAATTTTGTCGGATATGCTAGATGATTCCCCTTTGGATGCTGATCAATAATATATATGATTTATGGGGTCGGAAATGACTCCTTCACTGCTTTTTAAGCTTCTGACTAAAATTATAATACCGATATTTATCTATATTTTTAAGTGACAATTTTTGGAACAAAACAAATTTTAAAAAACTCATAACTTGGTCAAAAAATCATTAATTTCAATTCAAAAAACGCCCAATGTTAGTTTTTATTAGGGTAATAAATCTGCATACTCAATTTAAATTTAAAAAATTGAAATTTTTATTAAATTTTTCGCCATTTTAGTGATGGAAAAAAAATTAAATTTTTGTCGGACAAAGCTAGATCGACTCGGTTTTTGATGCTGATCAAGAATATATATGATTTATAGGGTCGAAAGGACTCCTTCACCCAGTTTTAAGCTTCTGATTACAAGTATAATACCCTGAAAGGGTATAAAAATAGGTCATTTACATTAAATTTAATTTTACGTTAAAATCAATTTAATTTAAAATCAACTTTAAAATTTCAAGTGTAAAGGAGAGCAAGGAACTCAGTCGATTACGGACACATGTATTGTCGTTTCACGCACATGGAGGACGTGACCAGGTGGGTGGATTGCCTGTCCCCCCCCATGCCCAAGGCCGCACACCCCACACCCCACACACACACCCCTTGCTGTGGGTGGAGTGGCACGGCTCTTGACTTGGTCGCCAGGATGATGACAATGTCTCCTGACAGCTTCTGCGGCCTGAGCCTGTGATTGCCAAAAATGCGACACGATGACGGCAAGGGATTGCAAAAAAAAAAACATACATATATATAAATAAACAAAAAAAAAAAAAACACCGAATAAACCATAATATATATGTGCATGTATAAAAATGAAACCCAGAAATGTAATACACCGGAGGGGGAGGAGGACGTACCACACACACGCAGCGGCAGACATTGATGAGGCCAAATTTCTGTGATTCGTCATCTAAATAGGTTTTCCCGACACAAACACACACACTGCGGGAAATTGGTTCACATTACACACACACACACACATTTGCGGACCGGGGAAAATTGTCCAATCTTTGGGAAAAGCGGCCCTCGGCAGCTGAGCGATTTGCTTCCCACCGCAGACAAAAAAAAGCACATCAAAATTCGCATCATTTAAATATTTCTTCTATTTTCACAAAAAATAAAGGCTAGAAAAATCAAGAGATTAGTTAAGTTTTTCTATTTTTAAGTATTAAAAAATATTAAAGATTTTCTAAAGCTTGAAAATGGTTTTCTGCAATAAATAGAAGTAAAACTAATTAAATAAAATTTTATCTAATTTTTTCTATAATTATTATAATTCAACTATTGAATATTTTGTATATCCAAAACTTCGATTTATCAAAGTTATGATACTTATACCCTTGCAGGTATTATAACATTTATCAAAAGTTTGCAAACAATAAAGAAGTAATTTCAAAACCTAAAAACCAAAATCTATCCTTATCAACAGCAGAGCACCATTTTCTCAATAAAATTAATTTAAAGTTAAAAATTGACAATTTTTAAAATTTTCCATTTTAATCCAATTAGAAAAAAGCACAAAAAACTTTCCGAATTAAAAACTATGCTTAGCTTTGAATGATTTAAACTTCAGTCCCCCGGAGCTAATAAGAAATTGTTGATATAATATTTAGACCATAATTAGGTTTCTTTTGACAAGTTATAATATTTATTACAGCATTAATGTTTAATACATGCTAGAAATCTTAAAATATTATAAGCTCTTGACAATTAAGTGAAGTGAAGTTTAGTTTAAATTATGCAGAAGGTGTGGGTATCAAGGCTAGAATGTGTTTGTTGTTGAACTTTTGGAAAAAGGAGGAGCTCCTTTTGGTGCAGTAGACAATAAGATGGTTTTACTTCTTCCTGCGGCGTTGTTGAATGTGGTGTTGAATGTGTTGTTGAAGTTTTGGAAAAGGAGGAGCTCCTTTTTGGTGGCAGTAGACAATGAAGATGGTTTTAGTCCTTACTGCGGCGTTGTTGAATGTGTTGTTGAATTCGTTGTTAAGTTTTGGAAAAAGGAGGAGCTCCTTTTTGGTGGCAGTAGACAATGAAGATGGTTTTAGTCCTTCCTGCGGCGCTTCTTCTCAATGGTGTCGTCGGTCGAGCGCATTTGCTTTAGCTGGCCTTTGCGGTGAGCACGACGACCTTGGGTTTCCGAATCTTTTTTGTCTGTCTTAATATTCTCTTCTTGCTCTTCTTTTTATTATTCTCAGCTTTCTTCTTGTCTTCCTTCTTGTCTCCCTTCTTGTCTTCCTTCTTGTCTTCCTTCTTGTCTTCCTTCTTGTCTTCCTTCTTGTCTTCCTTCTTGTCTTCCTTCTTGTCTTCCTTCTTGTCTTCCTTTCTTGTCTTCTTCTTGTCTTCCTTCTCTTTCATCTTCATCTTTTCATCTTTCTCCTCATTTTTCTTCGTTACCTTATCCTCGTTTGGCTGCATCACATTCTCCTCGTTTGGCTGTATCATGTTCTCCTCATTTTGCTCCATCACGTTTGCCTCACTTTCTTTCATCGCGTTTGCCTCATTTTCTTTCATAGCTTTGTTCTTCACATTGTTTTTCTCTTTTCCTCTTCGTCTTCCTCCAATTCATTCACGTTCACCATTTCCTGCTCCTCTACCATTGCCTCCTCGTTGTTCTCCTCCTTCTTTTCCTCTTTCTTTTCTCCTTTTCCTTCTCCTTCTCCTTCTCCACCTTCTTCTTTCCTTTTCCTCCTCCTTCTCCTCCTTCTCCACCTTTTTTCCTTTTCCTCCTTTTCCTTCTCCTCCTTTTCCATCACCTCCTTTTCCTTCTCCTTCTTTTCCTTCTCCTCCTTCTCCTTTCGTTCCTCTCCTTTTCCTTCTCCTTTTCCTTCTCCTTTTCTTTCACCTCCTTCTTTTCCTTCTCTTCCTCCTTTTCCTTCTTCCCCTCTTTCTTCTCCATTTCTTCCTTCATCTCGACCTTTTCTTCCTCTTTTTTGGTCTCCTCCATATTTTTTGCCTCCTTATTTCCTTCACCGCATCGCCCTCGCCTTTATCCATGTTCTTGCCGTGCTTCTCCTCCTTCTTCTGCTGCTCCTCCTGCTCTGCTGCTTCTGCTGCTCCATCTCATGGTCAATATCAACTGACTCATTGGACGAGGACGCTAACTCCACAATGACGACCATGATGTATTCTTCTTCTTAACGAAAATGGACGAAAGCTTCTTGGATACTGCTTCAACGACTGCGAATGGAAGTTAAAGAGAATGTAATAAGTACGACAAAATTTTTCAATGCGCATGCGCACACGCTTTTGAGGTATGTACCGCGATTTCAATGAGCTGACCAACGATGTGGATCCCGATTTAGATTGAGAGCACGAGTACGAGGTGGCTGATGAATCTGCCAAGAAATAAAATTTTAACTAATTTATTCACTTAAAAAAAAAAAACCGGAGAACACAAACCTTTGCTAAGGCTCTGACACGAACACACTGAACTTGAAAGAACAAATGCTGACACAAGTCAATTCAATAGTGATGGGATGTGTTTCAGTAGCTTTTTCTAGATTTTTCTCTATCGATAAATGCAAACGATATGCAATTTGCCAAAAATTAGCTAGAATGTTCTGCCTAGCTCTGTTTCCGTCTCTTTCTCTCACGAAACGACAGAAGAAAACGAAACAAAATGGCCGACATTCGAATTGGACACAACGCACAAATGAAATAAGCTTTCAAAGAGTACCTCAGATTGCCTCGGCTTTTCCCCACAAGGAATTGAACGACCAGGTCGTGAAAATTCGTCCACTGTCCACCTCAGACGTCGCGTAAGCTCACTGAGCACCGGCGAAGAGAGAACCGGCAAAAAGCGCATGCGCGGCCATCTTTCTCTCTAACGCGGTTTCTTCACCTCTTTTTCTATCTCTCCCGAAAAGGCAACGAAAGAAGAAACCGAAAACAAATGGCCGAAATGGGACTCTCTTTCTCTCTTACACTCATTCATTCATTACCTTATTCTCTTTCTGTCTTGAAAAGGCAACGAAAAAAGAAACCGAAAAAAAATGGCCGACATTCAAATTGAGAACAATGCACAAGAAAAATAAGTTTTCAAAGAGTGCCTCAGCACGTTGACTTAAGTTACGACCAGGTCGTGGAAATTGCTCCACTGGCCACCTCCAGACGCCGCCCTTGAGCTTTATCTGGAATGACACCGGCGAAGAGAGAAGCAACGAAATGCGCATGCGCGGCCATTAAGACCGAATGTGTCGTCTTCATGTTCAAGGACGCCGCCGAAAGTGGCACCTAAGGCACTTCTTAAGACCTAGCACCTACACCACACATGCATACATACATAATTCAAACTTACCTTTAGCAGGAGCAGAAGACAGAAGAAAATCCCAGGGTGCAGGTTAATGTTGGAAACTACCTCCTCTTTTCTCACTCTGAAAACGACCGTGAAGATCCCGATGACCGTGAACTATGGCGAAGTGGTAGGCGAACTCGCAGGTTTATAAATATTTAAGAATATTTAAATTGAACGAAGAAGTCAAGACCAACTATCAATGCGCACGCGTAACACGTTCTGCGAAAATTTTCAAGCTTTGACAATTGGTGTTACCAGATATCTGGCGAAAGAAAAGGAAAATGGAAAATGTCATAAATTCCTTTCAACATTTTCAAATGCAACACTAAGTAGTTTTGGTAAGTGTTGGTTATTGATGTTACCAGATAGGCACATATCGAAAATATAAAATTAATTAAAATATATAATTTCCTTGTAATAGAAATTTAAATCACACAATTTGCATATTTTTTGTAATTTTTTTATAGAAAAGAAAGTCTAAAACCCCTTAATTTGTTTATAAAAATACTTCATTAACAACTGAAATTTCAAATGATTTTTATCATCCTTTATTTATGATCTATTGTAAACATAGTTTTAATTGTTAATGCTCCATCACTTGTGGTGGGGGTGTCAGAAGGAGAAATTAAAAAAATGGTTAGGATATTTCAACTTTAAGCCTAAAATACATAGAATTGATAAATTCGCCAACGCTGCGAACGAGGCAAACGAGGTTTCCATATATCGAATCCGATGCGAATGTTACGTTAACCACTAAGTATTGATTGATGCCAAAAGATGGGATGGATTGGATTGGAGCTTTGGGAAAGCAGGAGTTTTTTTTTTTTTGGGAGGAAGTAGGAGGCGGCGGCCTTAGTTCAGCCTAGAGCGCTTTTGGCAATGGCATCCTCGACGGCGCGCAGTTGCTTCAATAGCTCCTCGCGGCGTGACTTCTTGCCATCGTCCATGCCTAGATCCCTCGCCTTATCCTTTGTCTCCTTGTCTTTATCCTTCTCATCCTTGTCCTTATCCTTGTCCTTTGCCTGTGGCTCCTTCTCCTTGTCCTTGCCATGCTGCTGCCGCGGCTCGTTCTCATTGTCCGAGTTGGCTGAGTTATTGGGCGAGGCCAGCGCAGACACTCCCACCATGTTCGACGTCTTCTTAATCTCAATGGAAATGGGTGAACGCTTCTTGGTCACTTGTTCAACGGCTATTGGATGAGAGTTGAGGAAAATGTTATGAGTATGAGGAAATCTTTAGAAAATCTTCAGAACATTAACACTTACGCTTCTTGATTAGCTTTCTTTCATTAAGAGCCTTGTCGGTGGCTCTTACACGCTTCTGGGGAGTATCGCGGGATCCCGAAGAGCTGCCAGATGATGAGGAACCTGAATCCGATTCCGAGTACGAAGTGCTTGATGAATCTGCAAGGGAATGGAACAGATTAACAGATTAATATATGAAGAAACAAGCAAGAGAAAGGAAAGAAACATAAGGACACATGGATCCAAGAATTCATATACTCTCCCCACCTGAGTCAGATGAGCTGGAGCTGCGACGACGTCTTAGCTTGTCAAACTTCTTGGGCGTTGGCGAGGCAAGCTTCTTGCGCTTGGAGGCGGGACTATGTCCCCCAGTTCGCTTGTCCAAAGCCGGACGCTTGTATGAAGGCGAAAGGCTGCCCTCTGCAACAAGGAATAACAAAATTATACATTAAATATAAAATTAAAAAAGAAAACCAATTCCAAACTCACTGGACGAGTGCCTGGGACGTCGTGGTATCTGGCTGGGCGAGCGCGCTGTTCGACCGCTAAGACGACGCCCTGAGGAGGCCGAGGAGGCGCCTGCGGCCAACTTGTGCGAACTGCTGCCATAGCGTCGTTTGTGTTCCGGCGGCGGACTGCTCGAGCGCGACGAGTCCGAGCTGGAGTCACTCTGCGAGCTGTTCGACGTCGAGTAGGACGAGTTGCTGCTGTAGCTGCGACGATCACGTCGCCGTCGCTCCTCACGCTCATACGAGCCACGTCCCATGGACTTGGAACGCATCCAGGGATCGTTCCATTCATCACCACGGCCTCCATGGCCACCGGCTGCCTCCACACGCTGGACAATCACCTCCCGCGCAGGTCTCAGCCTGCGATCGTCCTCATAGTGTGGCATTCGATGCGGCGGCAATTCTCGATATCTCGCCATGCGCCCATAAGCGTCCACATCCTCGTAATGGTGCGCCGATACATACGGACCTCGACCGTAACGATCCGCTGGCGGAGCTCCATACACCGAGTATGGCGGCAGGAGAGCACGCGGATTGGCATGACCATGGCCATGGGGATGCGGTATGGCATGCGGATGCATGGACAGCGGCATGCTGAGCGGATGCAGCATGGCTGGATCGCGGGACGATGATTGAAGTGGTGGCGGTGGGGAACGGGCCAAGCTAGTGCCGCGCTCCTTGAGGTAATACGGATCCTTCTCCAGTTCGTCCGGTGAGAGGGTGAGGTTCATTTTCTTGTCCTCAAAGTCCATATCCTGCTCCTTGCGCTTATTGGCCTTACGCATCATCTCTTTGGCGGTACGCAGACCCCTTTCCCAGGCATTCTCCACCACGGGTCCAACCTCGGGCAGCCGGGCGTCGTGACCGCTGCTGTATAATGTCGGAGCATGGAGTAGTGCCGGTCGATGGAGCAGCGCTGGTCGCTCAGTTCTATAGTCATGATAATCGGCTGCTGAGGCAGCATGAGCACTGTACGCGGAGGAGCTGGCGCGAGATGTTGAGCTAGAGGGTCCAGCAGCAGCAACAGCAGCAGCAGCTGCCGCCGAGGAGGATGCTCCTCCGCCCTGTATGGGCACGGAGCGAACGAGGCTCTCGAACATCGTGTAGTTACCCTTGTCGGTGACACCGGGATGCAGGAAGCGACAGCTCATGCCCCAGGTGCACTGTCCACGTGTATAGAAGCGACACACGGGCTTGGGTTCCGTTTCCTCGGGACGCTTTTCATCCTCATCGGACACCTCGCCCTCTTCCAGCTCCTCTTCATCCTTTTTCTTCTTCTGAGCTACCGACGTCGATGATGAAGTGACTGACAAGGCCTTGTCTTTGGCCTCATCCTCGCCATCCTCAAGGCTACCATTGCTGGCAATACCGTCTAGGGTCTTGCTCTTGGCCTTGCTCTTGCCTTCCTCATCATCGTCGGCATCCACTTCGCCATCATCATCATCATCATTGTCCTCGCCGTTGGAGTCACTGTTTTTGTCACTACCAACGCCATGGTTGCCTTTATTCTCGACAACATCCTCATCCATTTGCGACTCTGTGGTCTTGGCCTGTTTTGTTTCGCTGGCTTTGATCTGCTCTGGGCACTCGCCCTCCTCTGCTTCAAAGTCCAAAGCATCATCGTCATGGGTCTTCACCAGATCCTCCTCTAAGCCAGAGGCTGGTGTGCGTCCATCAAGCTGTGGAGGAAGGGAAAACAATAATGAAAATAGAGTTGATTAAGGGATGAAAAGATCAGAAACATACCTTGGCATCCTTGCTGGCCTTGCCTGGCTTCTGGCGACCATTTAGCTTGACCCGTTTCCCCTCATCTTCGTCCTCTTCCATAGCGGAGAGTGAGTCATCTGACAGAGCGCCATCCTCCTCCTCGTCAGCAGCCTCCTCATCCACCTCCATCGGCTTCTCTGTCTGGTGGCGTGAGTTCTTCGGCTTCTCTTCAGCCTCAATATCGCTGACATCACTCAGATCCTCATGACTGATGTTAAGATCCACAGCCGCTTGGTTGTACAGCTGCGGACTGTTGCTTCGACTGCGTACGGAAGAGAGGAACGATTTGGCGCTGGGCGGTGAGCCAGGTTTCTCGGTTTTCGAGGCCAACGGAGATGTTGCGGGTGCCGCCGTAGCCTCTAACACTTGCTCTGGTTTGGGCTCAGGCTCTGGCTCGGGTTCTATCTCGGGCTTTGGTTCTCGCACTGGCTCCGGCTCTTGTTCTGGCTCTGGCTCTCGCTCCGGCTCTGGCTCTCGCATTGGCTCTCCCTGTGGCTCTTGTTGTAGCTCTGGCTCCGGCTGAGACTGCTGCTGCTGTGGCTCTTGCTCGATCTGCTGTTGGCGCTCGGGTTCCGGCTCATCTTCACTGGACGAACCACTCGAGGAGCTGCTGCCACTGCCGCTGTCGCTGCTGCTGCTGGAGCTTTTCTTTTGCTTCTTGGACACATCACTGCGACTGGAACTGGAGCTGGAGTTTGAGGAGGAGCTGCTGGTGGAACCGCCACGAACAGAACGATTTAGTGTCCTGGCCGCTTCAGATACTTCTTCCTTCTGCTCATCAGGATCCTTAATGGAATTATCGGGCGAATTGGAAAGAGACTCCGACGAGTTGGACGGAGAGCTGGCACGAGAATCGTCCGACTCCATGTCGAGGACCATCGGTTTGCCGCCTTACGCCGTTGTTGTTGCGGGCAACTCGAAAGGTCCACGCCTTCCTGCAGGAGATGGTTAAATGGACAGAGATTAGTTTTCAATGTTGAATTAAGGGGGGGAAAACAAGAAACAACCTTCTTGGGCGACACGCAACTAAACTCTTCGGGAACCGAGAGAGGAACTGGATTGGAGCAGCGAGTCGAACATTTGTTGAGGGGATTTAATCTTTTCCAGAGTTTCTGGACACTTAAGCGGACAATTAAAAGATAATTTACTGAATATTCTAAAAAATTTTAAGCACTATTTCTCCATTGAATCACTTATTATGAAATGAAATTAAAAAAGCAGACTCTTTGATTGGTAAAAAGAAAGGCAGCGAAAGGTCAGCGTCACCCCCAACAAATGTCGATAACTGTGTGATTGCCACGATAACGCGATGGGCATTGCAATCAATAAATAACGTATCATTTGATTTTTTTGTGTTCTTTATTTTGTTTTTTGTTTTTTTTTTTTGTGGGAATGAGAGAGGGACGGGGTCGGAAGTAAAGTTTTTGTTTTTTCTTATTGAAAATATTGATTGCTGTTTGTTGGCTTTTTGTGGGATTCTTACCTTCATTGCGTTTATTAGCATTTATTTATTTTTAATTTTATTGATTCTATCGTGTGTGTGTGTGTGCTACGGCTTGTTTCTTTTTGCATTTAATTTTTGTCGCGAACGAGAGCGAGAGGGGGGATGGGGAGACAGAGCGAGCGCAGGAGGCATTTTTCTGAAAGAACAACAACAATTACAATTGCAAATACGGGATAACTTGCGCCATTCCTCTTTACATTCTCATTCTCGCAACGGCGGGACGGTCGGTCTCCCTCTCTCCCTTTGGAATTGTACACACACAAGTAGGACACGCACGCACGCACGCACACACACACACGAACACACAGAGGCACACACAGGAGAGAGTTAATTATTTTCGGACTTTTGCGCACTTTTCGCGACCGAGAGTCAAATTTTTTACTTAACAACTTTAACCACTTTTCACTTACATTCTTTTACTTTTACATTTACTTTTACTTTTTCGAGTTTTACTCATTTCTCTTATACTTATACTGTTTCTTTTATACTTTTTTGTTTTTGTTTTTTGGAGGGGAAAGATAGAATACTTGAAAATATATCAATTTGTTGGTCTGAATTTGCAATATGCACATTTTTGTTGCTGCTTACCTATGGTTGAGTGGGTGCGAGTGAGAGTGAGGGAGAGAAGTACTGAGAGCCAACGCCGCCGCCGCTACTTCTCGGCCGCCGCCGTCGTCGTTGTTGCCGTCTGCAGTGCTTTTCCCCCTTTTCGTTTGGCGCTGCGTCCGATGGGGAACCTTCAACTCCTGGTTATCCGGATGGCGCTCGTTACCTGGATCCTGTTTCCAATAGCAATTCCTGATTTTAGCTGGCGAGAAACGCGTTCTTTTTCAGGGTCCTCGGTGTCCAAACCAGCGTGACCGAACCGATAACGATAATAAATACTACCCAACATTAAATACTGAAAATATCATTTTAGTAGTAAACTAAATTTAACTGAATAGATCTTTGGGCTTATGTTTTGTATTGAAATACTTACGACTTCTTATTCATTCAGTTTGTTATTTTCTGCTACCAAAAATATAAACATGAATTATCATTTATTCAATTTAAAAACCATTTCACCAGATTTTGATATTTAAAAAATACCAGAAAAGTAAGAAAAATGCTGCCAGATGGTTGCATTGCCGTTCTCCCGCGGTTTGACGTTTGGCCAAGTTGCCACTAGGCTGGCGGAGTTGCGCTTTCCAGCACACTTTTCAATGGTGTAGCTAGTGGGGGTCAAAATTGAAAATAATTACTTAAAAAGATATGAATGTATTATTTATTTACATAGGAATACAAATTATACCAATAATAATATGTATCTATTTAAAATGTATATATTTACTCAGTTAATCATTAAAATCTATGCAACCCCTGTATATTTTTTTTCGCTGCGCCTCTGGCAATTGCCTTTCACATGTAAATAGCTAAATCTTATCTCTATCAGCCGCACTCCCAAACAATTATGGCAAAGCATTCAAAATTAACGGAATTTATTTAGCATAAGCACTTTAATTACGCAATAGGAGATCGTGGAAATAAATCCAATCCCAAAGTGCCCGTCGATCGTGTGTGTACACACTGGCCCAGAGATGCAGCTGCTTACGAAATCGTTACGTTTCCTTCCAGCCGGCACAGGAAGAGTCCTCTTCAGGCGCTGCTCCTGCGGAATGGCTACTTCCCCACTCCTAGCAACGCTTCTTACTCCACGTCGGAGCCCGTGGAGATGAGCTTCGAGATGTACCAGGGCGAGGGCAGCCCACACAGCCGCCGTTGATAACAATGCATGGCCTCTTTGGCTCCAAGCAGAACTGGCGCGGTATCAGCCGAGCGCTGATGCGTAAGATTCCCAGAAAGGTGAGTGTTTTCCTCCAGTTTTCTTATTGTCCCTTTCCATAAGACTCCTTCCTGCTATTCCAGATCTATGCCGTGGATGCCAGGAATCATGGCGATAGTCCGCATTCCAGTGTCCACACATCGCAGGCCATGAGCGAGGATATCCGCCTATTTCTTCAGAAGCACCAGGCTCCGAAGGCCGCCTGTCTGGGTCACAGCATGGGCGGTCGCGCCATGATGTTCTTTGCCCGTAAATATGTGAGTTGCAGGCAGGGCGAGTGCTGGGGTATCCAGTATTAAGGAAGACTTCATCAATTATCCTTTTTAGCCCGAACTGGTGGAGCGTCTGATTGTGGTGGACATATCGCCCGTATCGGTGCCACGCGGCACCGAGGAGATGAAGCACATATTCGAAGCCATGCTCAACCTGAATCTCTCGCCCAGCCTAACCTTGTCCGAGGGAAGGAAGATAGCACGGGAGAACCTACTGGAAGCCACGGATGACGGGACGGTGGACTTTGTGATGCTGAATCTGCGCAAGGATCCACAGACTGGAGCGTAAGTGGGGGAAGTGGTTATAATTTTAGTCCGAAGCTTAAAACTAAGTGAAGGAGTCATTTCCGACCCTATAAATCATATATATTCTTGATCAGCATCAAAAAAGAAGTCGATCTAGCTATGTCCGGCAAAATTAATTTTTTTAAAATTTTGGAAATTTTATAAGGCTAAAATTGTCAAAAAATATGAAGAAAAAATTTAATATTTTTACATTTTACATTTGCATTTATGCAGATTTATTAGCCTGGTAAAAACTTACATAGGAACGCTTTCCGAATTGAAATTAGTGCTTTTTTGTCTAAGTTATGAGTTTTTTAAATTTTTATTTTGCCCTAAAAATTGTCATATAAAAATATAGATAAATATCGACTCGAAAAAGGGTATTATAATTTAGTCAGAAACTTTTTACGCTGTGAAGGAGTCATTTCCGACCCTATAAATCATATATATTCTTGATCAGCATCAACAGGGGAATCAATCTAGCTATGTCCGGCAAAATTTAATTTTTTTTTTAAATTTTAAAATTTTATAAGGCTAAAATTGTAAAAAATTTGAGGAAAAAATAAATTTTTTTACATTTTAAATTGAGTATGCAGATTTATTAATATTAAAAAAACTAGCATAGCACAGCTTTCCAAATTAAATTTAATGCCTTTTTGTCATATTTAATATATATTCAAAGAATGCGAATTTTTAAAGGTGATCGATCGGTGACCGATTTTTTCTTATGCATATATTTATATATAACATATATCTTTATTTTTTAGGTTCTTCTGGGCCTGTAATGCCCCGGTGCTGCGTGACTTCCTCACCCGCTTCGAGGATTACAGGACAAACATAGACGAACTGCCTCCGTACACTGGCCCCACCACCTTCATCTGTGGCTCCCATTCATCCTACATGAGGTTGTATCCTTATTGATTCCTATTATAGCTTATAAATTAAATATTTCTTTGTTTTAGAGAAGAGCACTGGCCAGAGATTTTGAAGATGTTCCCTGAGGCGGATATCCACTGGCTGGATGCCGGCCACTTGGTGCACTTTGAGCAACCGCATGAGTTCCTTTCCATAGTCACCAATTTCCTCAAATAGAAGCTTAAAAAAATAAGAACTAAATTTGTTATGTACCTAAAAAATTATGTACAAATAAAGAGGCAATAAGAATGAGGCTTTAAGCTAAATTAATGATATAAGCTTATATTTATTTGTGGGACTAATTTTAAGGTAATTTAAAGCTTAGGAAATGCTTGTTATACTTTTAATTAATTAATATTATTATTTGTTTTATTTAAAACTTACCTTCTATTTTCTAGAACCATCATTAAGAGGGAGATGGAAATAATATAATAACATAATACTTAAAAGTCAATTGAGCTTCAGTAATTAATTTAAATGTAAAACTAATTAATATTTTAAAGTATATATTCATTCTTTGTCAAAAACTCACTAAAAACGCTCAAAGAAACTAAGGTTTTAAGTATTTTTAAAACCCTTTTTTAAGAAATATATAAATACTATATAATATAAACCCCTTTCTTTCCCCAACAACAAATAGAAAAACTTCAAGTAGTGGTGTATGTACATTTAAAATGTAATTTAATTTAATCATTCTTGTTGTTCGGCGTGTGATCGATCTCTCATTAGATTCATTCGATTTTTGGGGGGCTCGAGGTTTCTTCTTTCATTTCTTACCATCTTGAGCCCCCTATTTGTTTATCTTTAGTTCATTTGTTTAAAAAATATACATACACAGGACACGAAAAAAATGCCATATAGAACAGAGAGCGAGAGCGAAGCTGATGGAATATAAATCTTCATAACGTGTGTTATCCTTCCGCAGCCTCCTCCTTTCTCCTACTTTTGCATACAAAAAATTGACAGCAAGTGATGCTTATCCTTTGGTTTCGTGTGTATATATGTGTGTGTGTGTCTCTTGAGTGTGTGATGTGTATGTATGTTTACTTACAATTAGAAATAAATAAAATATGTATAAATATATATATATATATATATATATAAGAGATACCGAAAAAATCAGGCGAAATCACATTGCACTTAAAATTAAAGATCGGGGAAATTATTTATTAAATGAACACAGTTTGCGTGCTTCGGTGTGTGTTTTATGTGTGTATCATGAGTGTGTATGTGTGTTTGTCTTTATCCTTGCTAAAATACATCAAACAGGAATGGTGGGTAAAACTCTCGTGCTAAGGCTAAAATGGCTGTGATAATTCCCTCAAATTCGATGTGTGTAGAGTGTGTGTTTGGAGTGTGTGGTGTGTGTGTGACAATTCATTTGGATTTTGTCTCACAGCTTTTGTAGTAATTTTTAGTTATATTAGTTTTGCTCTAGTTCCTTCAATCCTCCTCCTTAGTTGTAGTTTTTGTTTTCTTCATCGTTCTTTTTGTAGATCCTCTTAGATTCCATTTGTAGATTCTGCTTTTAGATCCTTTTTCATATCTCCTTTGTAGATCTTTTTCTTTTGTTTTAGATTCTTGCGTTTTTTGTATTTTTGTTTAGACTATAATGCCGCCATCGTAGGCGTAATCGGCTTTGTTGTGCATGACGAGTCGGTTTTCCACAAAGTAAAAGCTGTCCGAGCGTGTCTCAAAGGGGCTCGATATCATCTCAGCCACTGTTGGGATAAAAGATAATAATAAGACATTAGTTAATTCATTAAATTTCCTAAATAAAAGGGTTTACATTAAAAAAACGCCAAAGTTGAGTCTTATACATACATTTTCCTCAGAAAACCTTTTGAAATATAAATTAAAAGCTTAAACAAATTTGTTAAAATCAATTAAAGGCCACAGAAAACTTTTAAACTAACACTTCTTTCAGAAAACGTCACAAAAATATAAATTTCCACCAATAATAAATTAGTTATCAATAAATAAGGCTCTTAGTTACATTTTTAGTTGTGATTTTCTCTAAATTAACATAAAATTAGGTCTTAACTGGCTCTAGGTTTTCGAGTTTAAGGGAAGAGCAAAGCAAAGCCTTGACCTACATTAAGAGGCCCTTCCCTTGTGCCATTTTTTGGCCACTGACCTAAGGGCAGGCATTATGCAAGGCGCTAACGTAATTTAAGTATAAATTAAAGAAAAAGAAATTTAAAATATCTACATTATGAGAGGTAATGTCTTGTATAAACTTATTGAACTTAAGAAACTTAAACTGAAAAATTAATTTAGAAAAAATAAATGATGGTTCTTAGGGAACAAATTGAAATCTATATTGATTTAAGTATCCAAAATATTGAAAACTAGACTATTGCACTTAAAACAATGGATTTAAAGTTGAAATAGGGAAAACTCAGAGATTATATCGACAGAAACATCGAAATTATCAAAAATCTGGATTATACTATCTTTTTAATTCCTGTTTACGTTAAAATATAAAAGAATTAGGCTGTATATCCATTAAAATATTAAAAACCTTGCTAACTTTGATTAAAAATGTTTAAATATTAACAAATTTAAGATCTAACGATGAAATATAGATAGTTTCATTAAATATATGGATTTTATCTCTATATATGATCTCTAATCCCTAACTACAACCCACAATCTGGGTTCCAGCTCTCACCTAGGTCGGGTGGAAGATTAGGAAACTCGTAGATGTGCTCGCACGTATTCTTTGAATATGGAAAGCAATAGCCGAACTCAAAGTCAAAGGTCTTGAGCAGGCGGTCGCGAAAGAAGTGACGCTCAATCATACGGAAATTATTCACTGGCTGGCTGCCCACCGTGAATTCCACACTGTAAAAACAATAAAGTTAATAAATATATACATATATAAATGAGATGAAGCTATAGATGCACTCCTTACGTGGCTCCCACTGTCTTGAGGTTGAGAAATGCCGGCGTAAACTGATAGCGTACATAGCGGCCGGCATTCGGATCGGCAGTGTCCTCCAGCGTTAGCTCCTCGGCTGCCGCCAGCATGGTCTCCTCGACGGATAGTCCATCTGGGAACTGTTCGCTCGGCGGCTTGGCAATCTCAAAGAGCACCGCACCGCTCTCCAGATCACGGATCTTGAAGCGTGTAAAATCAATCTCGAACACATTTGCATTGGCGGAGCACAGATAGTCGTCGGTGATCTTGGTCAGATGCAGCACATCTTCGGGCGTCACACTGGAGGGCTCCGTCGATCGCTTTGAGTCGCCTGCACCACCAGCACATCCATCTCCACCGACGCCGGAGGAGGACGCCGCCGCCGCCGCCGCCGCTGCTGCCAGACCGGAGTTGGTGCCACCATTGGCCTCGCCGCCGACGCCGCTGCTGGTGGCACTCGTCCCGCTGACTGAAGAGGAGGAGGATGAAGAGGCGCTGGCGGCAACGGCGGCGGCTCCAGCGGAGGACTGCTGCACGGGATTTAGTTGTTTGCCCACCACACTCATATTGACTAGGATTTATTGGTTGGATTCCGGGTTTTTGGAGGGTTTCCTGTTGCGGCTACTGAACAGTTTCTGGTGGAGATTTAAGGCTCCTAACTGGCTGGCTGCTCTCTGGCTAACGATGGCTCACTCTGTGGAAACGAAATGCGTGACAATTAAAAGGGAAAAACAAGAATGAAGGAGAATGAGGAAATGTGTAAACCTATTGGAAAGGCGTTCAAAGGTAGGCAATGAAAAATGTACATACATATGTACATATAAAAGAATTCATTTAAATAATATAATTTACTCAAAACTAACGTTTTTAATTTGTTTGTTTTAAAACACACCAAATACAAAGCAAATTAGAAAAATAACTACCAACAAAGGAAAACAGAAAAATAACTGCACACTTACCCACACATACACACACTCCGGGAGTTGCCATCAATTGGAGCAGGATTTTGTTAGTTATATACACATATGTATATACATATATATATTTACATATATGTATAGGGCTTCCTATCCTTATTTGTCAATCTCCTCAGTCTTTCGGAGGGGAAACGGCGAAACCACAGGTAAACGAAAGTAATAGAAGTGATAAAATATAAGGAACTGTAAAAACTGCACACACACACGAACTGCTCGAAACTCACTTACTCACACAAACGCAGGCTGCAAGTGTTGCCATAACATTCGCTTATTCGCTTTTCGCTCCCTCTGCCAGCAACAACAACAACAACAAGAGCCACAGTTACAACAAACAAACGACAAAGACCAAGACGTTGATGATGATGATGATGATGAAGAAGAAGAACAACAACAACACACACACACCGCGCTCAACAATTTGTAAGTATGTGTTTTTTGTATAAATACAAATTGAGGAGAAATCCAGCAACAAGCTCGAAGAAAGGCGCGACCCAATTTCTGGAAAAAGCGCTTGTCCTGTCCTCCTCTTTGTGTTTGTTTTTCTCTCCTTTGGCGTCCTTATTGTGTGTGTGTGCGTGCGTGTATTGGCTTTGTTTTTGTGCGTTTTGTTGTTGCTGCTGCTGCTGCTGATGCTCTGCCGCTGCGCTGCTCTGCTGCACAATCTGAAGCAGTGTGACCGTGCCGCAAACACAACAAATATACCACCAATCGATATATTTGTAAATGTTTCACAGAAATATCGATATATCGTATTTGAAATCAAGCTTTCTGCAGTCAAAGCCTTAAATTATCTTCAATTATTAACTATTTTGTAAAAATGGATGTAACAATGCATAAATTCTATAATGTTGTTTTAAATTTGAAACGCCGATGTTGCCATCTCGGTTTGGGAATAATTCGAAAACTCCCGCTTCACTAGTTCGATATTTTTATCGAACTTGTTTGCAGCTATCGGAAACGATAGCTAGGATAACTAGGAAAAAGTGTCATATCTAAGATAAATTTTCCTTTGGCGCGTGTATAACAGTTTTTCGAATGTCTAAATAAATGTTTTTTCGACCATCGGTGTGTCGAGCGCATTTTCCCCCTCCCTCCGGTTTCGTGACCAACAATTAGTTAATATCCATGCCGTCTTGGTCTCAAGTGCTTTACCATCTGGATTTTAAGAAGTGGAGGAGATAGGAAGCGGTTTCCGATTCGGTTTTCACACTCAGACGCACGGGCGCCGCTCCAACAAGAGTGTGTGCACACTGGGAAAAATACTATTAACGGAAATGTAATTTCAAAAATTTAAATGCAATTTAATTCACTAATTGCTAATATTAAATGAAAAAAATTAATTCGATCAAATATTATTGAATTATATTTATTATTATTTAAAATGTAATGTAGTTGTTTTTTATTTTTTTTTGTCAGTGCAGGAGAAAACAGCTTGAGCTAGCTCCTCTTTTTCGTATGCTTATTTTCTTGTTATTGTTGGGCTCCTTAAGTGGGTATTTTAATATTCGCAGCCGGAGGAGAGCCAAAGAAGTGTTAAGTTTCAGGGGCCACATATGCACTTATCCCCTTGTCTGCTCCTTCGTTCGTTCCTTCTTCTTGTACTCCTGCTCCTTATCCTCCTTCTGCTTGTTGCACAGTGGGACAAAAATACCATAAGAGCAGCAAACTTAACTCATACATACGCTTACGTAATGTGGTAAATGTTTGTATATATCTTGAAATAAATGAATAAAAAATCCCCATAGGTTTACACGCCCTTCATGATGGGAATCCCTTTGGTTTTGCTTATTTATGACTCTTAAAAGGGGTTTAAAAGTCGGTTCATAAGATAAAGACACTATAAGAATGACTATTAATGACTATAAGTTATTTATAAGGCACTTCAAAAATTTTTAAAATATTACTTAAGACCATAAGCCATGTCTATAATTTAGGTGGAATTATTAATATATAAATATAGTTTATAATGCCTTACAATCTATCAGAAACTATATATTTCTAGCTGAAAAAAAAATTTTAATACAAAAATTTGCTTAATTTAATTTATAATTTTTAACATCAAAACCATGTACCAAACCCACTGTGCCTAGCCGTTCGCGTTTCCTGTATGCGCCCGTATCCGTGTGGCAGAGTGGCAACGTGTTCGCTCCTCGATGCAATACATATACACATATATACGTATATGTATGCACTTGTATGTATGTATGTATATGTTCAGTACAGTTTGGCTGGGAGTCTGAGCTGCAAACCCCAAAACATCCAACCCCAACCCCAAAATCTGAAAAAAAAGGAAGGAAACCCCCCTCTCTCGCCTGATTTATGCCCCAAAACTCAAAGTAAAACTGCAGACAGCCGGGGCAGCACCTGAGGAATATGGAATTTGACAGCCCCAAAAGGGAATCTCAAGATCCCAGGAATTTGCCGGTATAATCCATCTTTCGGATTGGTTAAATACCAAAAACAAAAAAAAAAACCAAGATTCGGTTTGGTTTTATTTCATTTCGAAATTTCACAGCTCATCATTGGGATTTTAGTTCTCAGATTTATTTAGCGATTAAACAGGTGGCACTTCTTTATATTTAAAAAACCTCTTACCTTTAAAAATTATATAGGAGCCTTTTTATCTAATATAATTAGTCATAGATGTTTAATTACATATTTCTTTAATGATCAATTTAACTGTTCAATACTTTTCATTAACAATATGGTATATTGGTATTTATAAACCTTAGAAAATATTAATAAAATATAACTAAAGCCTTAGGTGTTGTTTTTTCTATAAAAAAACTTAAATTCTTGACCTTTTGATCCTAAAGATTCTTGCCAAGCGATAGATCTAAGCTTTTTTATAACGAAAGCCACTTTTCTATCTCATTATCCTCAGCGATATATTTTCTTGATTTTTTAAAACTTTAATAGCCTTATTTTAGGCTTAATACTAACAAAATGTATAATATTTTATAATAAAACACCCTTTTCATTTAATATTACATAGTTTTTTTAGGGAATTTATTTGAATATTTATTTGTTTCATAGGTGGGAATACGAGGGGGGTTTGCCACCAAAGGCTTCGAGTTGCCCCCGCCTCTTAGGCATTTGCCCCAAGTAAGTGTGTGTGTGTGTGTGTGTGCCTGAGTATCGAAAACAAACATTAGATCAACAACAACAAGAACAACTAAAAATCGTGGGCGATAAAATTCGTACTCGAGAGGGAGGCAAGGAAGTAGAAAAGGGGGTTTACACAATTTGGCTGCTCTTTTAAAAAAATATTATAAGTTTTAAATTAAATTTACAAGAAATTTAAAATATTTTATTTTATTATTTTTAATTTATATTTATTTTTAATTCTAATTAAAACAAGTGCCTTTTTCTATGTTAATTTCATTTAATTCCTTCTAATTATGTTTGGACACCTCTGCCTTTGGCCCCCTCTCCTTCTCTCTCTCTCTCTCTCTCTCTTGCTGCCACTGCCTCTTGGCGCGCCGGACGGTCTGGCAAATGCAATGCACACTGCAGCCCCCCCCCACACACACACACAAACATACACATATAGGCACCCTGCAAGTCGAGTGTTCGTTTCCGTGAGCATGCACAATCATGTGTGTGTGTGTGCCTTTCTGGGGTTCATTGAGTGTTTGTGTGTATTGTAACACCTCCCAAGCAGCGCCAACAACAACAACAACACCAGTGCCATGCACTGAGAGAAATAATTTGAGAAAAGTGAATTTCATTCGGTAAAAAAAAGAGAAATACTGCAGTAAATGCTGTAAATACTAGCAAATACTTTACTTTTCTCTCTCTGCATTTCCAAGAAGAAGAAGCAGCCGGTAGAGCATAATCTAAATGGAATTTTGCTTTGCTTTGCGCTTCGCTTTTTCCAGCGATTTCTCAACAATTACAACAACAACAACAATATGCAAGAGCCAGCGAGTGAGTGAGTTGGCAGCGGCGGTTGGTGACGCCGACGCTGACGCCGACGCCTCGCTGCCCACTCTCCAGCCTTTGAATCTCGAGACTTTACCCTCCCCCCCTCCACCCCAACCATTGTCCCTTCCTCCACCCACTCCACCACACACATTCCAGATCCCCCACCTTTTCCTTCCACAGCCCTTCCCTTCCAACCTTTCTCATTCGCCTGCCCTCGTTTCGACCGCTGTGCGGTGTGAGTGTATGTGTGTGAGTGTGTGTGAGCACTGTGGCGCTGTGTGAGTGCGGATTTTTCTGGCGACAGACTGTCTGGCCTGACTCGGTTGCCGCCGTCGCCGACGTCGTCTTCACCGTTTGTTTGGCTATGGTGACTGTGTGATACAATAGCGTCACATTAATAGCAACGCAACTATAAGAAACTTTAAGAAGATCGTTAGCTTTAAGCTTAATACAGTCGAGGGTTTTTAGAGAGAGAAATGCGATTGTAGGGTATTCTACTTTTAATCTGAAGCTTAAAACTCAGTGAAGGAGTCATTTCCGACCCCATAAATCATATATATTCTTGATCAGCATAACAGACGAATCGATCTAGCTAGTCTGGCAAAAAATAAATTTTTAAAATTTTCAATATTTTTTAAGGGTTTAAAATTGTCAAAAAAAATCGAAAAAAATCTTAAATTTTTTAATTAAAATAGAGTATGCAGATTTATTAGCCTAAAAAAACTACATAAGACAGCTTTCCGAATTAAAATTAATGGCTTTTTGGCTGAGTTATGGATTTTTAAATTTTAATATTTCAAGAAATTGTATACATGGACCACTTTCTTGACCGCCACTGTGCATGTGCCTCCAGAGTCCGCCTGTTTGTATGTACGTAGGTGTGCCGACTTGTCCGTTTGTCCCGGGACACGAATGTTTTGTTATTGCTGCGTTTTGTTATTGTTCCTCGGTGCTGATATGGATTCTCGATGTTGGTTGCGACGGTGTGAGTGGGTGCATTATATTGTAGGTATCCCACAACACACACATGCACATGCACACACATGCACAAAAGTACTGCCTTTGCAGAGCTTTAACCCTTGAAAGGGTTGCTTCCTTTTGGCATTCCCTGACCTTCAGGAGTGAAAAGGAAACCAGGAGTTTTCAAGTCCCGGCGTCCCTTTAATTGCCCGGTTTCCTTAAAAAAAAAAATAAACTGCAATGTCGAGGCTTTACTTAACCTTATATTCCTCTTATGTATAATATTTTAATATTTGTTAAGGCTTAACACCACCAAATTCATATCGTTTTCAGTTTTTGTTTTCCAATTCTATTTTGAATTTCACAGTTTTGAATTTTCTGGAACACATAAATATTTACTTTGAATGAAATATGTATGTATGTATGTATGGTATGCCCAAGCTGCAACTACATTCAAAAATAAAATTCAAAAGCGAAAAAAAGAAGTAGAGAAACATAAATATTTCGAATAATGCATGTACAGACACGCCTGCAGGGCCCAAAAAAAGTTTATTTTGTATGTTTTCCCAAGGAATACCTACTGGAAGGGGGGCCAAAGCACCCCCTGCCCCACAGCATTCCTATGCTCCATATGGGGACTGTTATCAGACTCCAAATATTGGATTTACATAGATAGTTGACCCCACACACACA